CGTCGTCATCATCATCATCATCTCAATCATAATTATCCAAATTCAAACGCGTGTCAGGCTCGTCGTCAATCACCCCATTCAATTCGTCCGAATCATCACCAACCTATCGTCATAATTCTGATCATCTTTCAACCATCTCAGTTAAAATCAAAGTCAGCATCAACCGAGACCTCATCCGAATGTTTGTTATCGTGGTGTAGAGAGAGAGAGGGGGGAGAGAGAGAAAGGACAAAAGACGAGCTTGCATCACGGATTTTTGAGTTTATCAACACAGATACAATGATGGATGATTTTTTGTGGTTGAAGATGGAGTGCAGTATTAATCTGAGATGGAATGATATAGAACCATCACTTTACTCACTTCATGGAGTACAATGTCCGACCTTGTGAGTGTACTCATTCTCAACCAGTCTGCTTTGATTTAGTTTGTCAGGAACATCGTCATCTTTTACGGTATGCGGCATAACTCATCCAAACATCCCTAACCAGCTGAAGAGGACATTCAGTAGTAATTCTAGCAGGCCTCACGCGGGACTCTGCTCAATACAGCTTCGTGGCCGTATATGCTGAGTTAGGTCAACTAGTCTGGACCACGGTGAACAGGTACAACAATAGATAGCTATGACTGGTCAAATTGTAATCTACAGATTACTTTCTTTGATTAAAAGTTTATATAAATTGATTCTGATATAAGAATAAAGTGCAGTCCCTCACCTTTTACCTTCTTGGTCTTTAGGTTTTTGCTTAGTTCTGCTTTTGAGTGATTTCCGTACTTTCAATAAGTCCGAGTATTACAAATAGTGCTCATCCTTTGGACCCTAGGGCACAAACGGCGTAGCCCATGCGTTTCTCAATCTCTCCCTACATCTCCTTATACATCTTGATCAAGTTATCTAGTGACTCCTACACAGCTTCTACCATCCAGATGCAGGAGCTGCGAACAAAGTAGAATGTCAATTACAATTCCCGTATGCAGTGTTATAAACATAAACCAAAAAAGAGTCGAAACTTTGGGCACATCAAGTTGCTTTTACTTATTCTGTCACCCATTTTCATTGCTTCCAGATCCCGAAGGCAGTGATGGGCGAAAATATGTGTAAACTTGATATTTCCCATGATCGAATTTCCATTCTCCCAGCGATACGGTTGAGCTGATCAAACTACAACGGAGCACTAGATATATTTTAGTTCCAGAGAAACATCAAGTATTGGGTGCAGATGCTTCAGTTGGCATGCAAGCTCTCACTTATTGTGAAGTGCCACAGCCATTTAATAAGCTATTCTTGGGGTACAAGGATTGGTTTATCAAGGCCTGTTGTTTGTTGTTTGTTATTCTAGGAATAACCAACGTCCACTAATGAAGCAACACTCAGCAGTCCGAAGGTACAGAGCCCATGCCAGATATCATTTAAGCAATAGTGAGTCTGTCCGGTTTGCTTTGGGCATAACTGATAGATTAAAATGCATAAGACGGTGTTGTTGGTGCACTCAGTGGCACTCCTTGCCCTCGCATGATTGTTCTGTTCCGACTTCTTGGAGTTATTTGGCCGCATTACTCATTGCAATTTCAGTGACGAAGTTGTGAGGGGACGACCAGACAAGAGTAATTGTCGAAAACCTCTACGCCTTTAGATTGAACTGGAAACTTAACCGCACATTTCTCATCAAACTAGCGCATCCGGGTAGAACAACTCATTTGCGTGAAGATATATTTCTGAGATACACCCTATGGAAAGATGCTGGGGTATCAGTAGATGACAAAGATGTTTGCAAGTCCTAAAACTTTTTGTTCACTGTCTCCATTAAAACGGTAGTTCAATTTGACATCATTTGTCGGCAAAGGCCATCAGAACCCAACTTTCACGAGCGGATCGTCATTTCGTGCATAAATTTTATCATTCCAATTACAAGCCCAAAAAATCCACCTGTTTCGGTTTATATATGACTAATTAGAATGGCATAAAAAAGAAACTCTGAAGCTCTTGGCAATTCAGTTGTTTCCTGATATACTTGAACGTGGTGTTTCTGAGTGGCGGGGCTGAGGTGCAGTTGATGATGAAAAGGTCGAACTCCTCGAAAGGACAACGTCAAACGCGGCAAAACAGTTTTTGTTCTACGGACTGAGAAGTAAGGAAACAATCAAAGATACCATACCAGTAAATCAGGCGCTGTGGGAAAATATTCTCGGCTAGATTTCATATTTATCATCGTGGTAAATATGTAACTTCTTAACTGACAAGATTTTCTCGGCAGGTGGATTATGCAGGTGTCCAAAATGTTCTTTTGTAGTCAGGCAAGTTTATTCAAGCACATAAAAAGATGCCAGGTGTTTACGTAAGTACTGACCAGCGTAGCCTACAGTATTTCTTTTAGAAAGGCTTCCAGCAAAATGTAACTGAAACAGGCGTAACCGAGAAGAATAAGCAGTATTCATTAGACGCGGAGAAGTTATCAAGCTTTCAAACAGTTTTCTTAAAAATAAACGGATAAATAGACAGATAGATAGATGAGGAAAATAAATTCTCACTTTTGTGTTGTTGTGCTCCTCCCTGTCAAATTTCACTTAGATTACTGATTTCATTCGTTCTGTACCTATTTCTGCTTTTTTTGCGTGTGAATAGGAATATCTTGTAAGAAAGCCGTAGTTATGCCAAATATATATATGTTCTAACTCGGCTCTCTAGTGTTTATTCATTTCTGGCACTTTTTGTCATAATTTTAGTTTCAGTCATCGCGTTCCTGAGTGCCGCGTTTTTTGCTTCACGTTGCATCATCTGAATGTTGACCATCTTCGAAGGGGTGAGCACGACGTCCCCGTGTGCTGTGCTCCGGATGATCATTGCGTGTTAGACGGGCACGTCTGAAGTGGACGAGACAAGTGGACATTAGGCACATGTACTCCACGCAAACGTGTACAAGAGGTTGGTGCATTCTTTAAGTCTGATGAACAGACGAACTGAGCACAGAGCTTCAACTCTGTTTCATTTCAAATCGCGAGTTTCGTTTGAGGTTCCCTTTAGGCCGAACAATAAATTATATGAAAAAAGAAAATAGTTCAGTTTAATTCATTTTTCAAGTTTATGCATAAATGGGTTGCGTTTCCTACAGATACTTAGGCGATGATCGGACTGGGAATTCCCCTAACTGGACTAGTCGTGCCCGTGAAAAATAGTTCCGGAACAAACTTCTTCCCTGTATCTCGATATGTTCGTCAGATCGGATCGTGCTATAGCTGGGACCAGTCAGAAGTGAGTGGAAAAGAGAAAAATCCTTTTCTCTTCTTGTCGTTTGCTTCTTAATGTATTGAACAGCCTTTTCGCAACTTTATCCTTACGAACCACAATTACCTCCTTATTAATAAGGTCGGTTAGACAAAATAGCGGATTTGAAACACTGGGTCTTCATCCAGGTAATCGTATTCTTGTCTATCGCGAATGTAAAAGACCGAAGTAAGTACGTAATTTATAGTATGGATACATATATATATATGCGCACTAGCAAAAATATAATAGTAGAGTATGCTGGGTTGCAAAATATTATAGTGCTTTTGGTAAAGAGGAGGGAGGCCCGTTGGATTAGCTCCAAGTTGAGCAAATATTTTGCTCTGATTCTTTTTGCATGCACAGTACACGGTGTTGAATCACGATAAGCCTCGCTTCATCAAATGTCAGCAGCTTTGATATTAGACTCCCCAACAATACTCGGAATGACCGGTTCAGGTCAACCTTGTGACCCAATGGGTGTTGATGCAGTTGCAAGGAGGAACTGTGACGATTACACTTCGGTGTCGCTCAGACGGTTTTCATGGTGAGCCCTGGTCAACTCGGTCCTGGGTTCAAACCCGGCCATTGCCGTCCAGCTCCCAGTTTAGTGCTCCACAATCGACCACATTCTTCGTCCCGAATCACTCTACCGGAAAGGTATAGTAAATGAAGGAAATGGAGGAATACTGAATGGTTTATTATGCAGCAATATAACCTGCCGTTAAACTTTGAAAATGATATGCTAATGCTAAAGCGAAATACACAGGCAGCTAAAAGCCTTGGGTTTCAACAGCTAGTCACACGAAAGCTGACAGCTGTTCATCTTCAGCAGCCGTTGTAGTTCACAACAAACTACTTTCCTGATAATTGTAATAATCTTGTTTTGTAATGGATGAAAATAACTAAAGTGACGTTGCAAAGTAATTAAGAAAAGAATTAATTAGGTTTAAAAAGATTCACTACTGCCATAGTGAAACTGACATAATCTCCAAGGTCAACATCTTAAAATCTGTGATAAAAAACATCAATATGGATCCATGAGCACTGAGAAATTCACGGAGAAACTAATAGCTGTGATAGAGATCTCGCCTTACATATCGGGAAGACTAAAATCTGCACTACAAATTGGTGGAGATTATGCGTGCCACCTTTGTCACAAAAGTCAAGTTGTTTACATTTCCATAACATTTCCAAAAGATTTGATTAAAAATGTTAAATACTTGAACGTGCAAGGCTTCAAAAATGATTTGCACAGTACAACTAAGAGTCGAGGAGATTTTAACCGCCGAAAATGCAACAGCAACTCTGGCACTGGCCTCGAGGGACGAGATTATCGTTGGCACATTTACCCCTCGCGGTCCGGCTAGCTTGCCCACCTGTGTGGCTCAAAGTGAACGAATTACACAATGTGATTCTCTGTTGCATAGTAGCTTAACACATGCCAGTTTATGCGGTAATTCCGGCTGCATTAAGAAGATTATATTCAGCAACCAAAAAGAAAGTCTCGCAAAACCTCTACTACACTACCCGTGATCGTACATATTTGGAGTCAAATCATCAAGCAACACGGGAATATTCTTCATCCATGGTGGTACAGATGAATACGTTATTAATAATCAGTGAGTACCAAATGTCACTGCTGCGTAGGACCGTGACGATGATGACGAAGAAGAACATAGACACAATGATGAAATTTCATATGCTGGAGATAATTATCAAAAAGATTATGAATTATAAATGGATCCCGATTATAGAGATGAACATGATGACTTTGGCGATGATGATAACGATAAGAATGACGATGATGGTGATGATGGTGATGATTATGATGATGATAATGATGATTCGGATGATGATGATGATGCTGATGTTGATGATGATGATGATGATGATGATGATGATGATGATGATGATGATGATGATGATGATGATGATAATGATGGTGGTGGTGGTGGTGGTGATGATGATTATGATTATTCGGATGTTGAATACGATGATGATTTTTTTGATGATGATGAAGATGGTGTAGATGTTTTGTTGATGATTATGATGTTGATTGTGAATATGATGGTGGTCAGTAGTTTGGTAATGTTTGTGTTCATGATGGATCAGGTGATGACGTTCTTGTTGATGAATTATTACAATTATGATTATGATCATGTCAGTAACTTTGGTGATGGTGTTTATGATGATCATGATGATGTTCTTTGAAATTTTGATGAAGATTCTGATGATCATGATGATGTCGCTGATGATGACTGCGTTCACCATGATGATCCTGATGATTCTGATGATGTTTCGTAAGATGATGACGAGGACTATGATGGTAGTTCAAAAGTTGATAACGATAACAAAAATGATGGTTTGCGTGATGATTGTGATGATTTTAGTGATTCATGTGTTGATAATATTGAAGACCTTGATGGTAACTTGCATTTTGATGATGCTGATCTTTCGGATGACGGTCATGATGATGTTACTGGGGAATGTGGTGAAGATACTTTTGATGATGTTCATGATGATGGTGAAGACGATGTTGATTATAATTATTATTCCGACAAGGTTAAAGGTAATTCGGGTGATGTTGATGATAATGATGATGACGATGGTCATGATTATGAGGACCACAATGACAACGATCAGATGGCCGTAAATTTTGATGGTAGTGATGAATTAGAAGTCGGCTGTGATAATCGTGTTGACGATGATTTGAACGATGATGATGATGATGATGATGACGCTGATACTGATAACAATTATGGGTGTTGATGTTAATTATGTTGATGATAACTTTGTATCTGATGCTATTTATGATGATAATGCTGATATTTTTTTGGTTTTCCTGTAATTTTTCGACTAATGTGATAATGTTTGTGAAGCTTGTGTTGATTTTGATGAGCAATTGTAGAATTTTTTCGTGGGCTGCATTATTTCTTTTTTGATAAATTATCCATTGGTATATTGTACTCTAATTTCCAACTGGGTAATTCCTAAAACTTTCCAAGAAGTTGTTTTGTTTCTGGGAAGGACGAAAAATATTTTGAACAGGTGATTCGTCAGGTATGTAATCGCATCAGCCAAAATGGACAAGTTTCTCTACAGCCGACCAGGCTGTGACCCAGTTGACTGGTTGTATAAAACAAGGAAATAGACACACACAAAAAGAACCGTCCACTCTTTTTACAGTTTAAAACTGCCTCCTGGCGGGCCCAGTTCACCCTAAAAGTTTGTTGTTTTCAGTGAATTATTCAACCTCGGATCAGCAAACAACACTGATACTCCGGTTGAAAAAGCGATTATCTTAAATACAATATCAGAGCAATAACGTCAGTGGAAAGCAAACATGCATTTGCACGGCCGTTTATCAGAAAACTTTGAGCACCATGTATTCGTGTTTTCGGCAACAATGTGCGCAGGTGTTGTTATTGTTCTCACAGTTATTTACAGTTGATATAATAAATCCCAGTTTATTTGAAAGGTTATTGTAGCGTACGACACACGTCGAACAGAGCAGTTTTTTCTATATTTCCCCACAGACAGTCATTCAACTTGGATTTGCCCGACATTTTGTACCGATTTTGATGAATAAAAGATGACCACTTGGCCCCTTTTGGGCGTACACCCTTAGCATCCACAGCTTGATCCACCGTACTGTACTGATTTGACAGGAAATTCTCGTGATAAATTTACTCCCCTAAAGTAACTTGATCGGATTCAAAAGATCCCATTATCACCAGAGAATTCTGGCTTGCAAAGACTTTAAGTGTTCTATCAAAAATGCCTTTTTGAGCGTTGGTTGATGCTGTTACTAGGTAGCAACGGGGAAAAAAGTATGACTGTGCAAGGCCTATGGTTGGAAGAACCAGATTGAATCAGACACATCAAGTTTAGGTGTGGTGTTATTTAAGCGGGATTATTCGGCAATTTGCACACTAAATCTAGATAATTTTTGTCGGCTGGGACAAGCATCGCATATACTACTTGCAGAGAGATTATCTCGATTAGCTTCGTCCGCCAAGACAGGTAGCTGTCAAAAAGCCCGACAGCATGAGAAGTTCGTAGGAAGATTTTAAAGACTCGAATTTGTAAATCAGAGGACGATCAAGCAGGACCTTTTGGTTTTCCCACATTTTTCTTCCTATGAACCAAAAATAGTGGACTTGTGATGATCAACTGGTAAAGTACTGTGTTCCTGTGTAATCCCCGATTCGAAAGATCTGAGCCATGGTCGTCGAATATGCCCTGTTGCGACTGCGGTTCACTGCTATTGTGGGTGTACCTCCTCCACTCAACTCATCTAAGCACAAAATTATTCGAAAGAGATTGAGGTAAGTCTTGTTTGGTGACTCATATTTGCGTGGAATCTTCATTTATCTGTTCAGTTTATGTTTCACGTTTTTTTCGCCTTGTTGACCAAGGATGCACTATAAAACTGATAACTATGATTCTGAGACTGAGTGAAGAACCGTATGAGGACCCCAAAATATTGTGCATGAAAAGCGTAGAATCCCATGAGTCTAAGGATCCTGCAGACATTTTTTGGTGTACTTCGTGCTTTTCTAACCATGATGACAACCAATCAGAATACATTAGGTGAGATTAAAAGTGCTTTATCAACGGCAATTCAACAACGAATGCAGGATAACAACAGCTTGCTGTTGGCACTAACGTTACAATTTTAAGCGGGACGTACGACTAAATGTCACAACGGGGAATCACTATGCAGAAACATAATTTATTGGCAGTCCGCAATTGAGAAAGTCTGATAAAATACGGAAGCAATGAAAACGGACATCGTCTACGTATGAGAGAGGACAGTGTGAGGTGCAGTAACGTATAAATCATAAACCGCGAGCATTGCACTAAACGAGCAACTGAAAAGAGTGATAGAAAGATAAGGGGATGCGAGTGCTACAGTACGACTGTCACCCGAGAAATGAGCGGTTCCAGCCCAGGAAGGGTTGATGTCTTTTGAACTAGCCGTTATACGTCATTTTCTTGTAAAATGAATAAAAATCGGACAAGTGAAAATCGGAAAGTAAACTACTATTAAAATGGATGATTACAACAACCGGATAACTAATCAGTACAATGAAGTAAGTAGTAATTATGACTGCCGGTACAGTCTACTGGATTAGAGGCAGTACGACACTTCCCGCATAATCCTCGTCGCCACCAGCTTAGAATAGTGTTTTGTGATAACAAGTGGGGATAAACGGTATAGATCCGAAGGACAGAGGAAAGCCTCAATTGCCAAAGCTAACAACCTTTGATAGGATCGGAAATTCGCATCTCTGGCTGAGCTGTCCGCAAAATATAGTAATCGGCCACCTCTTACCCCAATAAAGGAAGTAAAACAACGGTACTCTGGTTTTTACCAGACAGAAGCCGCAAAATAAATTAACTTGTTGCATTACAATTAAACAATCTGGTGTTGGAACATCTTCCAAATTATGAAGCACAGTTTGGCAGGTTTGACAGATGTCAAATCCATCCAAATGTTTGAAGTCGTTGACCACCGTTGAATCAGAACGTACGCAATAACTCCACTCACGTTTTAGTATCGTGTGTGCCCTGACAGCTGAGCTACAGGGTCACTCGAGACAGTTTTGGACATTTTGCAAATAGAACATGAAAGCTTGTTTATAGCTACGGTCGACACAGGGGGAGGTGTGAACCAGAAAACACAAAAAACACTATTGAGAAGTTGCAAAAAAATCTACCTCAAGCAAGTTACTGATCGGCTCGAGCAAGCCAGACCGGGTCTAATCAATAATCGATAGGCCGCCAGATCAAGTAAAGCCTAACCCCTTTGGCTTATCAAACAGCTGTCTACAATCCAACGAAAATCAGGTCAAAGATCAATAGTTCAAACTGGCAGCCGTAGAATCAGCCTTTCAGACCAGAAACCTAACTGGACGCCGGAGTTAGGGACTGTTCCATTTTCGTCTTAAATACCAAGTTGTACTTTGATGTAAATACATGGTCATTTGATGCGCTGTGCAATTGTCTCCTGATTTTCATTTGCGAGCTGGAGTGATTGGAGCAGTGAGCAGAAGTCAGATATACATGCCGTTCAGCAGATTCACAGAGTAGAAAACCCGCGTCACAACAGACACCTGCATCATCAAAAACAAAGCACCCGTTGGCCATTAACCACAAAACCGACTGCGACATTTCTTCTTGGATACCCCACAAAACAACGGGAGTTCTGGATTCCCGGTGATCAGAAGCGATGATGATCAATGAAATGACATCTATGTCAATCCGGATCCGCCTTGGTGATTGAAACTGAACTGCTAACCGAAACTTGCACACTCTTGAAAACCACAAAACTGCATTTATTTATCCTTCTGTAAAAGGCATCGGTAGAAACGTAACAAAATGTTTCTTGAAAGAAATCGTGCTATCATGCTACTTTCGGTTTCCTTTTCAAATTTATGCCGGGGAAATTGTTTAAGACTTGTGTCACTGTTGACAGGAGCTAAATGCTCAAATCACCTGGCCTATCTATTGCAAAACAAATGGTTTTATGGTCAGTGCTAAAACAGTAAAATAATGAAACTGACTATTCGTTTAAGTGTACCAATGAGAAATGGGATTTCAAATCCGTCGTCGATTTACTGTTTATCGTGGCTACCGTTATTCGATAGAGTGGGCTGCAGACTACTGTGTTTTAAAACATTCTCACCATACAGTAAAAGCACCGAATAATACATCGCACACTATTTCTGTTTCAATGTAGACAATCGTACGGCAGTCCCGCGCTGAAATTTGCACATCTGCGAAGTCCGTCTACTGCAAACATTTCAGTAGAGAGGATATAAATATTGATTTGAGTGGCAGGAGATTAGACTTGTATGTGATTCTCCATGCAGCTTCAACTCTCAACTGACCTTTGAAAACTACGGAAGCACAGTACAGCTGTTTTATCCTTGTTGGGAATCATCAGCAGTGCACATCCACCGAGCCCCCACGGGGACTCGAACCCGGGGTGAATGACTGTGAATCGAACAGCTTCACCACAAGGCTATCCGGGCTGGCTATCAACGGTTTGTTGAACATCTACACTACATGATATGATACGATTCCGTCACTGGCTTTGAACGGTAACAACCAGCTGATGATTCCTAACAAGGATGAAACAGTTTTACAGCGCTTCCATGGTTTTCAATGGTGAGTTGATTAATGAAACTGCATGGTGAATCGTATCATACAAATAGTGATTTAAGAATTGCGGTAGTTCCAGAAACCCCAATACTTAAGTCACGTTATAATGTATATTACTACGTACTCCTACAATGAACCTCAAATTTAAGAGGTAAATCTCATTCCGACTTAGCTTGCAGTTACCAGGCTTCTGGACAATACAGTAACGTATTCATTTTTCCGACTGTAATTCGGCCCTCGACTAGTGACAATGTGAAGCCGTCATCATCAGCTACAATGAACACTGATGTCAGTTATTCACAATATAGTCATGAGATTCTTCAAAATCATCTGAACCACTATCATTATCATCATTCATATTGGTTCACTGGCCATCTTCGCCATAAATACTACTAAAATCCAAGCCGAGGCACCACTACGATCGCCACCATCGCTGCGACACTACCACCAACACAATAATAATAATGATAATAATAATACCAACATTATTAATATCATAGAATATGCCCATCGATTCATGAAAAAACTTGTAACACGAATAAATTTCTTTTCGATATATCACTTCAGGCATTGACATATATAGTACTGGGTAAAGGAGA